TGCATAGCTCCATAATGTTTGTGCTAGAGTTGTTTCTGGGGACTGAAATATATATGTACTTATCTGGTTAGTTGTAAGTTTGGAGCTATTACTTAATTTATGCAGAGAAAAGTGTTCACGCTCATTTTAGCGCACTTATTCAAATTTATGCACGTTTTCATAAAAATGTCCAAATTTTAAATTAGTCACTGAGTCAGCTTAAGTTTGGTTATGGTAGTGCATGTCATGTTGTTGTACTTAGGTGACGATTAAATGAAAGTGGAAGTGTTTGGATCATTTGTCAAAATTTCGTCATTGCATTTAAAAACAGTAAACAAGGATTAATATGGGCTCTAAAGGTGAGAATATACATTAAGAAAAAACTAGCATGATTGTTTTAGGACGTTGAAGCCGATGCCAGTAAAGAATGAATATGTCAGTTTTAGGCTCCTAAAAGACGTGCTATTGTTCTGTACGTGTAGTATGAATGTCGGTTATTTTACATTCATTTCTAAATTCTTAAATGAGAACACTTTTAAATAAAATATAAAAATATATATATAAATATATATAAATAAAAAAAATATATAAATATAAACAAAAAATATATACTTTTTATATTCAAAAAAAAATTATTTTAATCAAATATTTCCATCATTAATGTACACAAAAAAAAAAACCGGGACCTCAAGTCCGGTTAAATTAAATTTCATTGAAATACATTAAAAAACAACAAATTTTAAGGAGAAGTTGGCGTACTTTATGCACTGCCAAGCCGACTGTTATCCGAATGATTTTCTAATATATTAACGGTTAAAATCTACCAGAAAACGACAATCAGGTACCATCTAAAGAGTTTGATAAAGTGCTAGACTACTGCGAAAAAAAGAAAATGCCACTAATACTTGGTTTTGACTCCAACGCGCACAACGAAGCATCGGGAAGTACAAATACAAATACAAGGCGTGAGTACCTTTTAGAAGTTATAAGAAGAAGTTTAAAAATACTTTTTTAAGAAATCAAAACCATGTGCTGGGGAAGTGCACGGCACTGATGCACAAGCATCAGAATAAACACCTTAGAAGGTATTTCATGAAACATAAGGTTTTAAGGCTAGGAAAGATAGACCCTACACCCTATACAATAGATTTTTTAGGTCGCAGTGTATTATCCCTTTTCCATAATAATAATAATAATAATAATGATTAAAATACCCCCTCTTCGAAGACACTTGCATTTGCGATAATAATACAAACTGCAGAACATTTTTGTGAATCCTCTTGTTGGTTATGTATTATTGAATACTTCTTTCAATGATTGCAGTCGAAATTAAACAAAATGAGTGGTTCATAAGCTTGGGAAATTTTTAATTACAATACTTAGTTGTTGTTACAACCGTCTGTCCGTCCGCTTTATGTACTTTAATATATACACATACATAAACATATATTATTTTGTGATGTTTGAGCTAAAAGTTTGAGTACAGCAAGTTCCACGATATCATTCGAACATCGTTCGAACATTGGTGTTGAAACATTTACTGTTACACGTAGTTTGGTGAAGATGAAATAAAACATATAGTAGGTTAGCTGTTCAAGCAAATCGAATATTTTTGATCGATCGAAGTATTTGAAACTCGTGTGGTTTCGAACTGCTCGAACATTGTGATGCTCGCACATTTTAAAACTAATGTATGTCAATACAATATATGTTTAATATATGTGAAATGCTGTCCTTAAGATTGTGCCTTAAGTGGACCAAAATATAATAAGAATAATATTTTTAGCAGATATTGAAAATATCTTTATTGTAAAGCCCTAGGTTCGAATCACATCTTTTGTTTCATGTTATGTTTTATGTTATATTATTTTTGCTTTTTATTTTATTTTTGTTTTTTGTTATTTATTTTAACATTTTAATTGCAAAAATTTAATTCAAATTGTAGATTTAAATAAATTGTTCCTCTTAACATATAGAACTAAATTAAAAAATAATAAGTTTACTTCTCAATTAATAATGATATCTAGTTTCTTTTATAATCTGGGAATACTAAAAAACTTTGTTATTTTTTTTTAAATGGCAGCTTATTTTGACAATTTTTTTAATTAGCATAAATTTAGGTGAATTTTAAAAGAAGAAATGTTTTTTCAAAAAAAAAAAAACAAATAAAAATTAACAAACGTTCCATAAAAGCCCTGAAGTGAGTTACCTGCGTTGTTGTGAAAACCCGCGGGGTTCTGTCGAGCAGATAACTTAAAAGGAATCACAAATACATATGCATGGGTTAGGATGTGGGTAATATGATTGCAGTGAGGGAGAGTAGGGGACAGCTTTGAAGTGTGAATGAATAAGATGCGGGTGGAATTTTAATTGAGCTCAACCCGGGTGTAAGGTGGAGAAACTTAACTACTTCAATGGTGCGTGCGCTATCTATCGACAAAATTGCGCAAATAAAAATAAATTGGAACTCACAATTCATTTTCTATATAACATTTATGCGCATATACATATGTATGTATTTTCATTTAATAAGATAATTGTTTATAATATTATTTTATATAGAGAACTTATCACTTACTTAGTTTAGGTCGCTATTCTATTCGAAAATCTTACTCTTGACTTATGGGTCTACCACTTGAGTCTGCGCTTTAAATTTGCTAGGGATTAAGGTCAACGCCGAGAATTTTGTAGTCTAAAAATTATACAAATTATTTCAAAGGCCGCTGTTTATATATAATTGGCATCATCAGTGGTCATATAGTCGGTGCAAAAAAAAAAAAATTTACTCGATTAAAAATTAAAAATATATGATGATCACTTTTTCCCGTCTATTCGTATTAATTTCTGCTTTCTACATACATATATATAAATATACTAGCTGACCCGGCGAACGTTGTTTCCCCTTGCAATTAATTTTCCTGACTCAGCTGAGTTATAATATTTGTTGTTATTCAACTTAACCTTTAGCATTTTAATGCGAAAATTATTTTAAATTGATTTTTTCTTTTGAACTACAAAAAGTCCACATGCATTACTTATGTTACAAATATTTTCATGTTACTTCAAATCCTTATAAGCACTACATTTTAAATAAAAGAAAATATCAATGGATATTGCAAAGCGTCGTAAGAGCAATGACTGTCTGCAATCGTATGCACTGTGTTATCTCTGCATTGTATTCGTATAACTCGACGTTCAAATGCGTCGCCAACCATAACAACTGCAACTTCATTAATAATCGGTGCATTATATCGGCTCGCGTGCTGCCCAGATGGTACTTTGATGACGATTGTATAGTTGTCGTTTAGCAGTCTGTTTGAAACGGTAGTGAACAACTGGACCAACTGGTTGTGATTTTTTAAAAACGGTTCTAAAATACCCACAATTTCTTGCTCCTCCATCTGCTCGATATGGTTGTACTGGCAACGTGCGTTTATTTGCTGCTTCTCATCACCCATGAAGTAGATTTGCAGAAATTTGGGATCATTATTGGGCATCAGCATTAAAGAACCAATTTGGTGATACACTTGGCCCTGAATCTTAAGCGTTGATTGAAAATTGCGACCAATCTCATTCTGAACGATTTTTGTTGTTCCAAATGATGTCATTTGAAAGCACGAATTGAATTTGCGAATTTTACGAAAAAAACAATTTAGATTGAGATGTAGCTCCAGCCAATAGTGCTTTCAATGGTTCTAGCGGCGAATTCAATGGTGGCAATACAACTTTTCCAGATGCGCAGCAGAAACCGGCCGATTCACCTTTGTATTTGAGTGCATGACAGTGTTGGCACTGATTGTTTATAGCACCGATTACAATTCGTAAATGTGACGAATAGTCGATATCCGACTCATATTCATATTGTTTTTTTTGTACGTTATTTATACCTTTATATATACGTTATTGTATGTTATTTTATAATTCTTCCTTTTTGTGTGTGTTCAAGTGAATTCAAGGATGGTTTAGATTCACAATTATACCTATAATTATACTGCGGAATTTAAATGCACTAAAGCTATGCAATTTTAAGATTCATTTTAGATATTTTAAACTTTTTAAACAAATCAAAGTAAGCATGGATAAATTTTAAATTTCTAATATAAATGTATATGGATACCAAAAAATAAAAAATTAATTAAAAAGACATTATCCAGTGGGCCAAATTGTGAATCTAAACCTTCCTTGAATCCACTTGAACACACACAAAAAATTTCATCAAAATCGGTTCAGCCGTTTAGGAGGAGTTCACTGTCAACACACGTACAGAAGAATTATATATATAAGATAAAAAACATGATTTATAAATATTATAAGGTAAATGCTGAAAAAATATATAGCATTAACATGTCATCGAAAACATCTGAATTAAATCAAGGTTTATGACCTAATTTAATAATTTGTTCATCTATGGATCTGTTTGGGATTGATGTTATGTACCGTATATACCGTGAAAAACACTGGCGCCTGCAAATTATTTAACTAACAAAGTAAATTAGATCTCCGGAGATCAGTGATCAGTGATCAGCTTTAATCACAACTGAACTTAGTGACGAAAAAAGCATTCGCACATGCGCACGAAGGTGGTTTGGATAGCCGAACGGTAAATTCGAAACAGACTAACAACAACAACAACAAATCTCAACAATTGAAAGGTTTAACAACAATGAACACAACAACACCATAAACTCAACTTCAACTTAAACACAATATTAACAGTTGCATTTATTGTGTAACACCTCCCACGCCGCCATGCCACCATGCCACCAGGCCATCACCACGCCATTACCACCATGGCCTTTCGAGACCATAACCAGAAATCTTTATCAAAACGTGATTTTATTCAAATGCGCGAACGTGTAAGAGAAACAAGATTTAAAGCTAAAACGAATTAAGCGAAGAAAAAACAACTTCTACCAAAAGCCGAAGTGAGGAAAATTTGAATTCATGCACACTCAGTTAGGAGAAGGCAGCGAGAGCCAGTCCATATTTAACATGGAATAAACCTACCACGGCTTCTAGTCTTCAGTGTGAGTGTGCAGAGTGAGGAACGTAGTGTTTATTACCAAAAGAAAAAGAAAAAAATAAAAATAGAAAAAAGTGCAAAAGAAAGAAAAAATTCAGGTGCAAAGTTAAAAATCATTTAAATGCAAATTTGCCACGAATTAAAAAATATTTTAGAAAAAATTACTTAAAAATAAAAAAAAATAAGTTTTGTTAAAGATTAAGAAAAACTAAATACGCGTTATTCAAAACGCTTTAAATAATTAAATAAAAAAAAATTAAATTGCTTTACTATTTCAATAAATACTTAACATTTTATATTCTACAGTTTTGAAACACACATCACCATTCAAAATGGCGTTTCTGAAATTATGTATATTCACTCTGGTAATAGGTGAGTAAGACGAAATGTTTCGAAATCAAGTTACACATTTTTCGAATTTGGTTCAAGTTCTTGCATGTAAAAATTTAAGTAATAAATAGATCTCCTTGGTCTATATAACATCTTTACTTCATGTATGCCATTATAGATTACCAGGAGAAAGTGATCATACATTTACTTAAGTATGTATGTACTTATTTCGGTTATAGAGTTCAGTTCAAGCATAATTTTTTAGCCGATTGAAGTTACGATTGACTTATTAGGGTCTGAAAATGGTCCTACCATTCTAAAAACTATTTGGTGGCGTATTTTGATCTAAAATAAATTTAATACTTTACCGTAACGAACCTTTAATGTGTAATTTTTAATAAAACGTTTTATTAAAATATACTTAATTGTTTGAAAAGAGATTGTGGTTAGAATAAGGCGTCTCTGATCCAAAAGCACTAAATGCTAATAGTCAGTTTTTCATCAATTGATTACTTATTATTTAAATTGCTCATATCAGTATTGATTGGAATTGTTGTTCTCGTTGTTATTGTTGGTATTGCTATGTAATCTCGCGTTTTTCGAGATAAGTTCCTAAGTATACATCGTTAGTGAAAATGACTATAAACTATAAGCGAAATATCGGCGCAAATAGAGTTTATTTTTAAGAATTTTAATTTAAAAATATATATATAAAATATACATTAAGACCGAAAAGCTTTCGGAAATTCTCATTTAAAATTCGCGCGCTGTATATTTTTCGATATTTTAAGTTTATGTAGTTTGGCAGCACTGTCCTTAATTACTATGCCAAAAATGAGCGCGATCTGTCAGACAGTTCGTTTACGGCAGCTGTTGAAACCAGTTCACCTCAGTAGGGCGTTGCGAAAAAAACAATGGAAAAAAATATTGAACAAAGAGTTTGCATCAAATTTTGTGTTTCGAACGAAATTTCGTGTGCAGAATCGTTGCGAATGCTACAAAAGGCTTATGGGGAATCAGTTTTATCGAAAACTCAAGTTTATGAGTGGTACAAAGCCTTCCAGGACGGTCGTACGACCGTCGAAGACATTTCGCAACGCACTACTGAGGTGAACTGGTTTCAACAGCTGCCGTAAACGAACTGTCTGACAGATCGCGCTCATTTTTGGCATAGTAAATAAGGACAGTGCTGCCAAACTACATAAACTTAAAATATCGAAAAATATACAGCGCGCGAATTTTAAATGAGAATTTCCGAAAACTTTTCAGTCTTAATGTATGATACATGGTTGTTAACGGCTAGTCATGACGGCTAGTCATATATGCACTGGGTTCCGCAAGGTAGACGCGCTTGTTCTTAGAATTAGATCCCAAAATCGTTCTTTACTGAGTGATAAATTTCATAATTTCATTCGATTGTACACACAGTCAATACAATGAATGAAAGGCGAATTTATAAAAAAGGGTTCTCTAGGTAGAAAGTGTACGGGATGAAATAAGACGCTGAACTCAAAAGTGCGCATTTTATATAATTTGAATTGTCAGTTCTTTTATAGGTCTGAAAGTGGGGTTTGAAAGCAAATGTATATAAGCATATATATCTCCATATATATAACTGTTTACATGAAAGAAATATATGTGCCTATGTACTACATTTCTTTATATATATTATATATATGGTTTTTGCATATATACACTTTTAAATGTACTATCCATGAAACACTAGGAGTAAGTTGTATCCACACTATATGTTTTTTAAAGAAAAAAACTAGTTTCAATCTTATTGTTATTGCAAATGAGAATAATTGAATTGAGTAAACGATACATTTGAAAGCGTTACATTTTCTCTAACTATACGTCAATGTATAAATGCTCTCCACACATGGAGTATGCAATATTCAAGTTTACTCTTCAAAGTCCCATCAAAACATTATTGTTTTTGTAACCAAAATGCATACACAAACCAAATATGAATGCAACAACTGATTTTCAAACACCTTTAACATATTTTAATAAAATAATATGTCTGAGTTCAATGTGTCTGATTTTATTTCTAATGCAATTGTTTTGATTCTAGATAGTTTTGAAGTTCTTCTAAATTCAAAGTACCACATATGTGCGAACTATGCTCTGACACTGATGTTATCATAGTACTGTAGAGGAATATTGTTTAATAAGTTTAAAGCTAGAATATTTAGTTTTTTAAAATTGACTTCTTCGTCCTCTACTTATCCTCTATCCTCTCCCCTCTAACTCTACCTTGTTTTGTTAATACGGCACCCAAATCTAATTCACACAATCACTTTATAGTTTTGCGGGAATAACTAATATGAATCTCAGGGCAAATCTTCTTATAAATATTATGTTATATGTGAAAATTTGATCAAATATGGTATTTAATTTTTTTAGTAAGTCAGTAATAGGGGTGGTCTTTCATAATTTGCTATTCATAAAGTTGTGAACTCAGTTTTTGTTACCAAAAAATATTTTGCTAAAAAATGTTGATGGTTAGTTCGACATCTCAAGTTTCTAAAAAAATGTTTTATCAAATATAAATTTTAATTCTTTAAAAAAATATTTTATTCAATAAAAATTTTTGTTTTTAATAGCAAACAATTTTTGTCTACAGAGCCGGGTAAGATTCGTGCATAATGAACCACGGATCTCTCAGTATACTAACCTATAATAGATGTCAAAAATTATTTATTTTATTACGTTATCATGTTATAGCATAAATATACTATATAAGTATAAAAAAAATTTCATCTTCCTCTACCAAAATATTACAAAATTTATATTTCTTTAAAAACAAATGTTTTTCGAATGAACTTAAAAGTGAAAGTGTTTAACGATCATAAATATTTATAAGACTATTGTAAAAACGTTAATTTAATACAAACTATACAATAAGAAAAAAAGGAATAATTTAATTGAAATAGCAAAAATTATATTTATGCAGTTTGAAACTCAATTACGGAACATTTGCGCTATTCCGTACATGCAATTCTTATTAAAATGGATTTCCTACAAATTCAGAAGCAGTTTTCAATGAAACCCTTTTAGGTTTATTGCCTGAGGTTATCCATACGTGATTTTGTTTATAATTTACGTCGATGAACTTAACGTTCAATTACTTCAGGTTTTATTGGGTATCAGTATATATGTATTATCGCAGTTTCATTAATGGTCCATGTGTGACATTACCCCACCTAGGTTCGGTCACTATTGCACTGTTTTTAAACTTGACATAAGCGTACGAACAAAACGCAAAAGTAACTAACAGAAACGTACGGATTCACATTTTGCCAATGAAAAGAGATCTAGTTTAACCGGCCGTACTCGTATTTCGCATTAACCTGAGATGTTTTAGCGTCCAATGGCACATTCCGCATACGCACTTGTTGAGATGTCCATTAACGAAGTAAATGGATTTTTGGTGCCTTTGCTTTCGGTGCAATTGAAAAACAAAAAAATTACTTGTTTTTTACATGCTCGTATCTTACATCTTATTTCGATATGAATTTTAGATTGTATCTGGGAGCAAACGTGTTACTGATTCCACCTTTGTTGTTCACCTTGAGATATATTTTTGTATGAATAATTGACATAATATAATGCAGTGCTGCAATGCTGCAATGCTGCAGTGGAAAGCAAGGAAGTAGATTAAGTGCATTTATGTCACATCTGAAGTAATAACTGAGAAATTAATATTTAGTTTTACATTTAATAAAAATGTTACAAATTCTCAATATAGTAAAGATAGAAAAGGTGTGAACATATATATAGAAATGGCTTAATTATATAGTTGTTCAAACAGAAAAAGTTTTTAGACCAAAAGTTTTAGATATTCTTTACCTAAAAATATCCAATCACTAAACATTTTTTGAGAGAAAAATTTTTCAATTAAATGTCTTACATTAACTTACATTACATTACAAAATAAAGTGTCTTATATCATGACAATATTTCTGAATATTGAAAATTAAAGCAAATACTGACAATCTGAATGCTATGTTCAGTACACGACAAAGAAATCAAAGCCCAAGAAATATAACAGTCAGTAATTTGGAAATAGATCACAAATATAATGTAAAATCTAACTTTTGAGAGAGAATATAACGGTTGGCTAGATGAGTTGTAATATAACTTTAAATATTCTAAGACCATTAATATAAGGAAAGTTTAGCTTGAAAAATAAAATTCTGCTTTATAAATAAGTAATTAGACGCAACTCCTAACGGACGAGTCCACATAAACAGCTTCATTACGGCCCGAGATGGAAAACTATTGACATCAGCAGAAGAACAATTGATCCGATGGGTTGAGCATTTTACCGAAACATTGAATAATCCGCTAGGACTACAGCCTTGTACAGATCAACAAATACCACCTGAACGTAATATTACTCTATCTGGAATAAATTACTCAACACCAACAAAAATCGATGTCATCATTGCTATAAAGAATCTTAAACGCGGCAATTTACCTGGAAACGATAACATTTGTGCTAAATTACTGCTGCGCGATATAGAACGGACAGCCACAATATGGCTTCTACTTATTCAAAAAATTTGGAACGAGGAATCCTTACTCAGTTTGTCGAATGAAGGTGCCCTAGTGAAAATCCCCAAAATGGGAGACACCAAAGATTGTAATATTTATCGAGGCATAATTTTGCGAAAATCAATTCGGATTTCGGGGAAACCGCTCATGCGTCGATCTAATCAACACAGTCTGCATTGTGTTCGAGCAATGTAACGAGTTCCGGACAACAGTATACGCAGCCTTTATTGACTTCAAAAAGGCGTTTGATAATGTCAATAGAGGATTTCTTTGAAATATTTTAGAGAAAGAACAAATTCTACCAAAATAATAAATGTTATTAAAGGAATGTACGCAGGATTCAAATGTCAAGTATTGCACAACGGGTTGCTATCAAACACATTTGAAGTAGCCACCGGAGTAAGGCAAGGGTGTATATTATCACCACTTCTATTTATCTTCGTGGTGAACGAAGTGATGGGAGCGTCCTTAATAGGCAA